GGTGGGATGCTTAGCCCAAATCAAAGGAGCTGGAGGCCTCCTTGGCCCTGGGCTTCCTAGAGGTGTTCCTGCATTCTGGGGATCTCCAGGGCCCCCAGCTTTGGTCCCTGTGGTGGCCTGGAGGCCCAGCTCCCAGACTATGGCTTGGGCCCAGCCCCTGCTCTGGGGTGCTGGGGCTGGAGGGAGTGACCTTTTGTCCTGCTCTGCTTGGGGGCTTTCTGTTCCTCATTGTTTGGCCATGACAGGGCTCTAGTTTGTTTTTTTTTTCTGTCCAAGAGGACAAACAGGCCTGGAGGTTGCTGGGGGAGGCCTGGAGTCACACTCAGCAGGAGGAAGTGCAGGGCTCTAATCACAGAAGCTTCAGAAGGAGAAGTGGGAGGGAGGAGGCTCGGGTGATGGGTCCAGCTGCCTGCCCTTAGTGCTCCCGGGCAGCAAGGAGCCCAGACTTGGCCCAGGGACGCCCCTTTCCTATCAGGCCCTTTGAGCCCTGACAGGAAATCCTCCCCGGCCAGAGCAGGAGCAAGACGCTCCCCTAGTTGCCGCTGCCAAGGGGTGCTGGGGTCCCGAGACCTGGCTGGCCACCTGCCACTCCTCCCTGGGGTGGGGGCTGGAGGGGCAGGCGCAGCCTCGAGGAAAGCCAGTTTGGGGTGTTGAGGGGAGAGTTGGGCCCCCACAGCAGTTAGTATTTAGTTGAGTGCTGCATGCAGAGGGGCGGCCCCGGAAGGTGTGATTTCTCTGGTTAGGGTTCCCCCGGGTCTTAGCGCTCCCAGGTCACCTTGCTCTGTCCCCAGAGCCGGGTAATCAGACCCCATGGGGTTCAGCCACAGAGCGTCACCATTGCAGGACAGTTCCTTGCTCTTTTCCTTTCTCTGAGGCACCGGCTCGGGGGCCCTGAGAGTCCCATCTGTGAGGATTGGCGGTCAGCATCAGTGACAGCCCTGGTGCCTCAGGGACGAGGAGAGAGGCCTCACACACTGCAGGAAGCCCTGGCAGGGGTGTTCGCCCCGAGCATCCCCTGTGTCCAGCGCCACTGTGGGAGGGAAACACGGGGTGAGTGCACAGGGGTGCAGGTGTGAGGTGTGGCTGAAGGCCACGGGGAGGGGAGACGGGAGGGGAATGACAAGTAAAAAGGATAAGATGTGGTATGTACCTGTACCAACTCCGCATGATGAGCATACTCATTATGTATCACAAGCATACTGATACAAAAGGGAGAAGTTATTACAGTGAAAGACACATTGCCACGAATCCCCCTCAAAATCTTCCCCTCACTTCCAACACACTTATCCCTTTATTCTTGCCACTTTCCGAAACAGTTCTAGAAGTCTTTTGGGTTTTTTTTTTTTTTTTTTGCTTAAATTCTTTTATTGATACATTTTAGGTATATACTGTGTTTACATTTATCATTGGGTGCTTGTACCTGTACATGATGTATTTTGATTCTTATTTATTCCCCATTACCTGTGCGCCCTTCACCCCCTCCATCCTTCCCTATTTACATAGATTTCGTTTCCATTTTTTCCTTTTCTCACAATTTTTCCTTTCCCTTCTTTCCTTTCCCCTTCCCCTCCCACTTCCTATCCCTTTGGACCTTTTCTTCCTATTTCAAATTATCAATTATTCATTTTAATCCTTACACTTTCAGTATCTCACACTAGAGAAACTATTCGGTATTTACACATGTGTGCCCTATTTATTTCACTTAAGAGTATGGCCTCAATATGCATCCATTTAGCTATAAATGTCTCTAGTTTTAGTTCTTTATGGCTGAGTAGTACTCTGTTTTTTTTTTTTTTGTACCGGGGATCGAACTTGGGTCCTTGCGCTTGCGCAGCAGGCGGCGAAACCACTGAGCTAAATCCCCGGCTCCCTAGTACTCCATTTTATAAAAAAATTTTCAGGTTTTTTTTGAGACAGGGTCTCCCTGTTGTTTAGGCTGCCCTTGAACTCACTGTATAGCCCAGATTGGCCTTGAACCCAAGGTGATCCTCCTGCCTCAGCCTCTGAAGTCCTAGGATTACAAGATTGAGCTTTTATAAGTGTCTTTAGTTTCACTGTTGTGACTGCCTCAATGTCCTGAATTGATTAAAAGTGTTCACCTTTCTCGGTCATTTTGACATTGGAGAAGAGTTCTGGTGAATAGTGTGGATGAGGACACCCCATTATATTTTTACACTCAGTAGCAGCATTCGCGATAGTTTTTGTTTTGTTTTTTTTTTTTGGAGGTTAAGAGTAGGAAAATGTACTAGAGAATAGGAATGTGTAATAAGAATAGCTCCTGAGGGCCGCGGATTTAGCTCAGTGGTTCCGGCGCCTGCCTCGCAAGCGCAAGGACCCGAGTTCGATCCCTGGTACCAAAAAAAAAAAAAAAAAAAAGAGAATAGCTCCTGAGAGACAGGAGGGGTCCCCAATGGGTTGCCAAGGAGGCCACTTCTCACAGGGAGTTTTACAGAGCAAAGTCACAAAGGGAGGGTACAACACATTCACTGTAGTTTTGATGATACCTCGTTAAACCTGAAAGAAGACATGCAGGACCACTTCAGAAAGCAGCAAGGAGGATGGGATAAATGTGTTCAAAGGGAACACGTTGAGGAGGATTAATGGGAGCATGTCTTTTACTGTGATAAAAGTTTTAATGTAAACATTCACCATGTATTTTGATCACACCTCATACATGGATGTGGGTGGTATGTGTGTTTGTGTGTGTGCGCATTTGTGCGTGGAGCCAGGCGTGTGTGAATTACAGTCCAGAGGGATCCCAGTGACTCGGACTTGGAGCTGCAGTCCCCACTCCACTGGCCCAGCCATCCACCTTTCTTCCAGTCTTGCCAGAACCATGGTCTTGGTTGGGCCGGGCCAGAGGCCGGCCAGGTGCTGGGTTTAGGTTTGGTGGCCCTAGTGCCAGGGTCAGGCTCCTGCCCCAGGACATGACATTGTATGGAGCTCCCTGTTTAGATGAGCAGTGTCCAGCACTGGTCTATGCCAGGCTCCAGGCACAGTAGCCCAGTCTGCAGGCTTGGAGGGCAGCCACGTCTGCCCAGAAGGAGCCAGGAGGAGGAGGTCAGGATTCTGAGTGACTCATTCAGGGTGGGGCACGGGCAGGGAGCCTGCTGTGGGTGGCTGCTGTCTGAGAAAGGCCCTTCGGGTGCTTGGGATTCTGTCAGAGGAAACACGAGACAGTTAGGAGACCTGGGATGAGAACTGCTGCTTCGTGCCACAGCCTGAAAGCCAGCCCTGTGGGTCTCACCCTGATGGCTTCCAGCTGTTGGCACCAAGCTGCATGCAGCCAGTTGAGCAGGGAAGACAGCTGGGTTACAGACCTGTTTGTCACATAGCTCCAGGCAGTAACAACCCCAGGCTGCACTGGGGAGGCTGAGGGAAGGCAGAGGCAGCCACCTCGCCCTCAGATCCAAGGAGCCTGGCCAGGTCCACACAGGCAGGGCAGTACCCGTTACTGTAGCTGGCATCTGTCCTGACTGGTTTGTTTATAGCTGATGTTCAGGGTGACTGGTTGGTGCCTGTGTTACAGCTGTAAAATATTTTGATGAGCCAGGCGTGGTGGTGCATGCCTGTAATCCTAGTACTCAGGAGACTGAGGTAGGAGGATTGCCAAGAGTTTGGGGCCAGCCTGGGATACATAACAAGTCCCTGTCTCCTTGTTCCCTTGTGTTAGAAGTAAAGTCCAGAGAGGTTGAGGCCCTTGCCCGTGTCTGCACAGCTGGTAAGTGGTAGAATGAGGAACTGAAACCAGGCCTCTATGACTCAATACCCTTATCTGGGGAGAGGCCTGATGGTTCTTTCAGTAAAGGTTTATGGAGCTCCTGCCACCACGTGATTGCAGCTGGTGGTACCGTGAGGCACGAGCCAGCCTTCATTTCTGACCTAGGACTGCCCGCTGGTCATTTCAAGGCGGAGTCTGTCTGCAGGGCTTCGAGGGACTCGGGTATGTGCGTGCATATCCCCTCCTTTGCTTGTGTAAACAGGTACACGCCCCTGTTTGCCTGGTGAGACAGCAACCCGAGTGCACTCTGAGCATGCGCACAGTCTCGCAGAGGCAGTAGAGGAATGGGGGTCCCTGGAGGCCCAGGTGCCCAGCCGGGGCTTCTAGAGGGAAGACTTGGACTCAGGGACGTGTCGCCAGGGCTCCTGGGACAGACACAGTGGTGACTGTCGGTGCTGCTCTGCACTTCCGGTGGGTCTCTCATGCCTGAGGGAGGAAAGCTGTTCTTTCTCAAGAGTCTGTCCAGTTCTGTGCCTCCTCGGCACCCCTTTGCTTTCCTCTTCTCCCTCCTCTTTCTATTCATTTGCTGCTTTTCTCTTTGCGAAGGCACCTGGCAGAGTAATCGAGAGCATGAACCATGAGATCAGACAGGACCTGGGTTCACATCGCCCTGTGTCCCTGGGGCTGGGCCCCGGGGTGAGTGGCCTACCCTCCTCCCACCTCAGTGCCATTCTGCACCGGCTGCAGGGAGGAGCCAGCTTCGCTGGGTAGCATGCACGCTCCTGTCTGGGTCCAGACTCCAGAAGCAGAGCCCAAGCAGGGATTTCTGGGGTGTCCTGGGAGGGCTTTCCAGGAAGGGGGCTCCTGTGTGGCCAACACCGCAGCCCCAGGGGACAGGCTGGTGACTGGGGCTGCATGGGGGCAGCAGCCCTTCCACCCCTCGGAACTGCAATACCAGTGTGCCGGAAGTGCACATGTTCATTTCCGGAGCCAGCCCTGCCCTGGCTGCACCCAGTGATGGTCTTGGGGTCCATGCAGACACACCCATGGGGGTGGAAGGACAAGCAAAGGCTCCATTTGGGGACAATGACATGATTGTTAGAAGGGCCGTATCCATGTTCCGAGAGAGACCAGAGGAGGAAGAGGAGCCTCAGCCAGGCTGTGGGAGTCAGGGAGGGCTTCCTGGAGGAGGAGCCCCAGCAGGCAGAGGGCCGAGCATGTGCAGGACAGGACCTGGGTGGCAGCGTCTCTGACAACTGTCTCGCCTTCCCCTTTCCAGGATATGTTCATGCCCTACGCACCGGAATCTGGGACCAAGTGCCAGGTGAAAGAATATTATGAGAATACCGCTGGGATGTGCTGCAGCTTGTGTCAACCTGGTGAGGGGCGGCTGGGGGGGGAGGGACTGGTGCCCCTGGGCCTTTGCACATCCATCATTCTGCCTGGCGCATCCCCAGCTCCTGTTCCTGGTTAACTCCGAGGTGTCCTTTAGACCTCAGCTGAGCCGTCCCTTGGCCATGTGGCATCTGCTCCTTAGCAGAGAGCACAGAAAAATGAACTGAGAGATGCACGCTCCTGGCTGTCAGGAAGTGCAGAAAAGGGTCAAGGGGGTGTGTGACAGAGGGACAGAGTGAAGTGCCTGCTAAGTTACAGGGGTCTGGGAGGTCTCCTTGAGGAGGTGACACTGGCCAAGCCCTGAATGGTGAGAAGTTCAGAGTCCAGAAGCCCCTGGAGGGTTGGAGCCATTAGCTTGAGATGTAGGATGACCATGAGTCTTTCCTAAAGCCATTTAATGAGACCCCAGGCAAAGGGACCTTGCTTCTATTAACTGTGCATTCAATATCAATCCTAGCACTCTGGAAGGCTGAGGCAGGAGGATCCCAAGTTTGAGCCCAGACTGGGCAATTTAGAAAGACCCCATTTCAAAATCAAAATAATTCTTGGATTATAAAATTCACTAAAGGGCTGGGGATTTAGCTCAGTGGTTTCGCTGCCTGCTGCGCAAGTGTAAGGACCCGAGTTCCATCCCCGGTACCAAAAAAAAAAAAAAAAAATTTACTAAAGCCAGGTATGGTGGCACACGCCTGTAATCCCGGCCCTCCAGAGGCTGAGGCAGGAGAATCACCATGAGTTCAAGGCCAGCCTAGGCTACATAGGGAGTCCATGGCCAGTGTGAACTACACAGTGAGATCCTGTCTCAAAAACTAAATAAATAAAAATCCACTAAATTAGTGTAGCAGTGAACTTGGCAGGAAGGGGACAGGAACAGTACTGAGAAGGGCAGAAGCCTTTAAGGTTTGCTTTGGCATTCTTCTGTCCTCTGCTAGGCCCCTCTCTGGTCCTTTGGGAATCCCATGCCCTCATCCTTGATACTGGCACTGTGTTCCTGCTGCCTCCTTCCCCTTCCTGTAGTTTTTACTCTTAGAAGCTGGCAAACCAGTTCTTACTAGAGTGTGATTGACTGGTAACAATCCCAATGGTGGAATTTCAGGCATCTGGAAATAGCAGAGGGGAAGATATTTTATGAGTAGAAAGGATTGAGAGATGGAGTAATAGCTGGTTCCTGCCGGATGTGAGGTGAATGGATGGGGAAGTTAGAGCTGGGACTCTGGGGAGCAGGGAATGAGGCTGGGGTCCCGGAAGAAGCCCCGCCCTGCTGAGACTTCCGGCCTTTGCTTTCTTAGGCCAGCATGTGAAAGCCTTGTGCACCAAGACCTCGGACACCGTGTGTACCCCTTGCGAGGAGAGCACGTACACCCAGCTCTGGAACTGGCTCTACACGTGCTTAAGCTGCCGCTCCCCCTGCAGCTCTGGTGAGTGGAACTGGAGAGGGTGGCCCAGCATCCACCCTGGCCGCCATACGCCCGACGTGCGGTGGCCCAGGTGCAGTTCCTCCCCTCTGAGACGCGGCGTTCGCCTTCCAGTCCTCCCCTAGTTCTCGGCTTGGGGAAGCTGGGGGAGAATTGTGCCCCAAAGAGGGCAGGGTGGGAGTGGCCGGGAAGGTGGGGAAGGCAGAGTGGGCGTGGCCGGATTGGCAGGGATGGCTGGGTAGGCGTGGCGGGGGAAGGCAGAGTGGATGTGGCCTGATAGGCGGGGATGCCGGGTGGGGGTGGTCTATAGGGGTGACCCCGGCTGCCCGCTCCTCTTCCAGACCAGGTGGAGATTCAAGCATGCACCCCACAGCAGAACCGCGTTTGCACCTGCAGGCCAGGTCAGTTCTGCATTCTGGGGAGTCCGGACAGCTGCCGGCAGTGCATACCTCTGCGCAAGTGTCCTCCTGGCTTTGGCGTGGTCAAACCAGGTACGGTGGCGTCGTCTAGGTGGCTGGGTGCACCATTTTCCTTCACTCCTTGTCAGGCTCCTACGTATACTAGAGCCTCAGGGTTCACAGGTGAATCAGCTAAGCCCTCAGCTCCTGGGAAATCAGATGCTGCAAAAGACGAATGCGGTGTCGCCATCTGTCATCAATCCCAGCACCCTGGGAGGCCGAGGCAGGAGGATCCCAAGTTCAAACCTAGCCTGGACAACTTAGCAACTTAATGAGATCCTGTCTCAACATAAAAAAAAGGTCTGGGGATGTAGGTCAGTCCAAAGGTCCTGGATGCAATCTCCTGTACTGCAAAAATAAATAAATAAATAAATAAATAAATAAATAGATGTTACAGGAAGGGAATCCACACACCCTGGCGACCAGCCGTGTGTGCATGTGAAAGACATGCAAGCAGAAGTCCTTGGTCCCCTAAGCCTCCCAGGGGCTCCAGTACAAGGTTCCCCTTCGTGAGGTTGGAGCGCTAAGTGGGCCTCCACTGTTCCCTTCCAGGAACTGCGAGTTCAGATGTGCATTGCGCCCCCTGTGCCCCAGGCACTTTCTCCAACACCTTGTCTTCCACTGAAGTCTGCAGGCCCCACCGAAAGTGAGTGGCTGAGCCCCTGATTCTGAAAGAGCAGAGGGGGGCACTCCCTACCTCACTGGGGTCTGAGACAGAGCCACCACTGCCCAGAGGACTGGTGCTTGAGGCCTGGCCTTAGGGGTGGGCGGGGCCCTGGGCGGGGTGGGCGGGGCCCTGGGCGGGGTGGGCGGGGTTGGCGGGGTCGTGGCCCCCTAACCACCGCTTCTCCGGCAGATGCAGCTCCGTGGCCATCCCTGGGAATGCAACTATGGACGCAGCCTGTGCGTTTGTGTCCTCCACCCTGGAAGCAGCCCCGGGCCCAGCCCGCACGCCCTGGTCAGTGTCCCAGAGTGCAGAGCCGGCGGAGCCAACTCCAGGGCCCAGCACAGCTCCAAGCACGGCCTTGCTGCTCCCAGAGGGCCCCAAGCCCCCGACTGGAAAGAGCAAGAACGGCATCTCCCTGCCAATCGGTAGGGCACAGAGCCCCTTCCTTCCTCTGCCCGGCCTCCTGCCTTCTCTTCCTCTCTGTCTTACTGACAGCCCACCGCAGTGGGACCCTTTGCTCCATCCTGGGGTGCAGGTGGCAGTGAGCCACTCTACCATGCGAGCGGCCTACACTTGTGGCCCACTGACCTTCATGGTCCGACTCGCTCCTGCCCAGCAACAACCCCAGCCACCCAGGTCCCGGATGCCTGCACACTGGTTTCTGAGTGCCTGCTTTCTTCCTAGGACTGATTGTGGGTCTGACGGCCCTGGGGCTGCTGGTCATCGGACTGGTGAACTGTGTCATCGTGACCCAGAGAAAAAGTAAGATTTCATTCCATCTGCATGCATAGTCCAGGGGTGTTCGGGAGTCCAGCACCAGGTGCCACCTTGGGCTCTGACAGACTTGGAGACCGAAGTCTGGTTCCTTTGGAGCTTAGATCCTGGGGTGGAGGCCTCTCTGCTCACTTAGCTACGGGAAGACAAGGAGCCCTCGGGTTGTCCTAGGGGTTGTTCTGGAAGTCCGAGGAGGTAGAGCTCAGGGAGCAAGGTCTCCGAGGGTGGGATATGTGCAGGAGACAGGCATCCTAGGGAGAGTAGGCATGAATAGAGGTGGGGCTGGCGGATGGCGTGGGTGGCCCAGGGCAGTGGACTGGTGTTGGTCACAACCCCTGATGTGTCCCTTCTCTTTGCAGAGAAGCTCTCCTGCCCACATCGAGAAGGCAAGGTGAGTGTCCCTCTGCCTCCTCCCTGCTCCTCCTTGGTCCCCTCCCTGAGGGGTGGGTTGTCATCTGACAAACGACAAGTTCTGTGGTCTGTCCAGGGTCATGAGGTGAGGAAGCCCTGGGTGACCCAGAGCCGAAGGTTGACACAGGCTTCTGAAATCGTATCATCGGGTTTCCTCTCCTGATTTTTCAGGCAAAGGCATTGCAGAGAGGGAAAATGACTTGCCCAAGGCCACCCAGCAGTGTCTCTGGACTCGCAGCCCAGTGCTCTTTGCCTTGCCTGACAGTATTTCAGTGGGGCCAGGATGGTTTCTTGATTCCCGACTCTTCCGCTTTCAGCTTCATGCAGTAACTGCTGACACTCGCTACCTGGTGGCACATGCAGAGCAAGCGTCCCTTCTAGGTTCTCCTGCGGCCCAGCTGCCACCTCCTCTTTCCCGACATGTGTTTCCCCATACCCAGGGCACTGAAGTGTCTGGGATGTGGCCCTGGTGCCCCTGCTTCCTTTTCTGACACTGAATTTGTGTCCACAGAGAGTGGGCCCCACCACTGTGTACTGCCCTGTGTACCCATCCATAGCCCCTGGGACCTCCCTTATCGTGCTGGTCCTGAGCCAGAATGTTTGCCCCACCTTCGCCTGTCCCTGTGGGCAGGGAGCACCCATGTCCACCCCACCCCTCGCTTGGTCTGTGCTCCCTCAGGCAGCTGCCACAGGTCCCTGCCTAAGCCCAGTGGGTAGTGACTCAGTGCCCACTCGTTCCCAGGGCTTGGGGACAGGGGCTTCTCCTTCAGGTCGGAAAAGCAGCACATGCACACGTGTGGGCTCACTCCCACACACTCATGTACGGACATGTTAGTTACCAGTGCACACATTTGCCGGGTGCCGAATGGGTGCCAGGCGTGGTGCTGAGTGTTACTTATTCTCACAGCATCCTGTGACACAGGAATATGCTCCTTGCCCCGATTTGACCGCCTAGGTCGCTTGGCCCAGAGAAGTTGAGTAACTTTCCCAAGGTGCTCAGCTGATAAACATAACCTGGGACTCAAATGCAGGGAAGTCTCTGCTCACCGCCCCGGCCCACCCACACAGATCCTCTCTAGCGTGGCCCTCCCTGTGTGGACACATGTGTGCACATACATCCCATGCCCACAGCCTGCAGACACATGCTCAGATGCAGACAGACAGACACCCGCAGGAGCCAGCCAGCAGCTCTGCCAGGGTCTCTGCTGGGATCCTGAGTTTGGAAGGTGCCTCTCAGTACTCCCCCATGGGATGCCGCCCCCAGACCCAGACTCTGGGCGAAGTTGCTCCTGAACTTTGCAACTTGTGGCTTTGGAAGAGGGAGGTGGGCTGTGACCTTTGGGGTTTCTGTTCTGCCTGGCTTTAACCACCAGCTGAGGGGTGAGGCCCGGCAGAAAAGCCCCAGCTGAGGTGGTGAGGAGTGACATTTGGATCTGTCACCCTCCAAGCTCAGAGCAGGGCTGGGGGTGAGGTAGCGGCCAAGGTCAGGGACAGGCACAGGCATATGGAAGCCACAGCTCTGGTGGGTGGGACCAGGAGCCAGGACTTTGGTGATCAGCCAGAGAGGAGCAGCCCCAGCCAGGACAGCTGTGCTCCTGCCTCAGCTCAGATCACATCTGGAATTATCCCTCCCCCAGGGCCTTGGGCTTGGCCCAGGTGGGGGTTGGGAGCACCGTTCCTGGGCCCTCCCCACCACCCTGTGCACACAGTGGCCCGCCCGCTAACTAGACAACAGATAGCCCTGGAGTGCAATTTCGAGGTGGCCCAGCTCGGGTACCCAGAACTGGGGGTTTTCTCTTGAGCCTCCGGAGTGGAACCCCCAGATTCCCAGAAAAGACATTGTGAGTTTTAGCCCAGCCCCACTGTTTCCCACCCGTGACCTTGGAGGAGTCACTCATCCATGCTGTGCCTCAGTTTCCACACCTGCACAGCCAGGGTAGCACATTTGGGAGGGTCAGTAGACTGGTGTCTGGAGAGACTTCGGCAGAACGTGGAATGGCTTGGCACTCATGCCAGCTCATATCTTATTATCATTTTGTAGGGGAAGACAGAAGTCACAGAGGAGCGGGCTGGGCTTGGGAGGCGGAGGCAGTGCAGCTGAAGGCTGAATGAAAGGGCTGCAGCGCTGAAGGATCGGATGACCACAGGGTCAGCGACCTTTCTGCCAAGGCTGGACAGCGAGTGTTAGGCTTGTGGACAGCGTGGTCTCCTTGACAGCAGCTAAGCCACATAAACCTGGGCGGCTACGTTCCCGAGACCCAAGCTTGACCTCATCATCACATGTCAGGAAGTCTATCCTTTAACAAGTTTTTGAGCCATTTAAAAACATGAGAACCACAAGCTGCACAAAAATAAGTAGCAGGCTGCATGTGGCCCACAGGCAGAACTTTGCCCCCTTCTGAATGAAACTCACCAGGCATGGTGGTGCACACCTGCAGTCCCAGCACTCAGGAGGCTGAGTCAGGAGGGTCGCTTTGAGTTCAAGGCCATCCTGGACTACACAGAGAGACCCTGCCGCAAAAACAAAAAACAAAACACTTGTGCAGTGCTTAAGTGCAACAGTCCTTGTTTTTAGCACGTTCCTGTTTAATCTTCACAACAACCCTGTGACGTGTGTCATTGTTCTCCCTTTCTAGATGAAAGGAGAGAGGCACAGAGAGGTTAAGTAAGTGGCCCAGGGTCACACCCAGCGAGCGGTAACGGCCTGATTTGCCTGCGCTGGTCTAGATCTAGGTTCCATGCGCTTGGCCACTAGGCTGGGGCGCCCCGCCCTGTGCTGGTTCGGACCTTAGGAAAGTGGCTCCCCTTCCCTGTTCTTGTGCACAAGGGGGATCAAAACCCTGCCCCACCCCTGAGACTATCTGGTGAGCGAGGCCACAGGGCCCCTGCCCTCCGGGCGCCCACTGAGCAGGGCAGTAAGATGCTGACAGCTGAGACATAGGAGAACCAGATCTCCTGAGAGCGCGCGTGCGGGAAGAGTACGCAGGCGCGGGCAGAGGGGCGGCGTGAAGGGCAAAGTACGCATGCGGGTGCGCATGTGGGTGGGCAGCAGGGCGGGCCCTGGCTGGTGGGCTGACTGCTTTCTCCCCCTGCAGCGGCACCTGCCTGTGGATAAGATCCGGGGTGTGACAGGCCTGGAGCAGCAGCAGCTGCTCACTACTGCGCCCAGCTCCAGCAGTAACTCCCTGGAGAGCTCGGCCAGCACTGCCACCCTGGGCGCGGAGAAGCCCGAGGGGTCCGGGGAGACCCGGGGCACCTTCAGGAGCTCAGGTAAGCGGCAGACGCGCACCTGGCTTGGTCTTCCTTTGTACGGATGCCCCTGGACGTGATGGGGTTATGCCCCTGGAACCCCATTATATTGAAGATGTCTCAATGGAAACTGCACTTAGTGCATCGGCCTGTGCCTACCTAGGTCACTGTGGAAAATTTGAAATTCTTTTGGTTGCTGTTTGGGGCTTTTTTATTGTTGTTTTTTGAGATAGAGTCTTAACTATGTAGTACAGGCGATCCTCCTGCCTCAACCTCCCGAGTGCTGGGATTACAGGCTTGCACCACCATGCCTGGCCCCAAATTTGAAATTCTAAGCAGTTTCCGCGGAACTTGTATCACTTTTGCACCCATGGGAAGTTGAAACATCTCAAGTCAAACCATTGTAAGCCGGGGGCCATCAGTGTTTCTCCCCTGGCTTCTGTTCTGCTTGTCTCCCCCAGGACCCTGTCCCTTGTGTCCCCCCTTGGTTTGCACCCGGTACACCCCTCCCCCTTTCTCAGTGGAGCCACAAGGAGCAGCTTTCAGGCCCTGACCCCACCAGGCTCCCCGAGCCGAGCCTGGTCCTGAACACCCTTCCTTCTTCCAGACCTCCCTGCCGCCTTTCGCTGGGTATGGGAGGGTTTCCCTGACATCGTCCATGCTGTCACCCGCGCTGGACTGGCTGCTTCTCGGGCTGCCCAGCCCCCCACGAGTTTGAGGCCAGCCTGGGCTACATAATGAGACCCTGTCTCAAAACAAGCAGAAAACCAACCAGCCAAACAAACAACCTAAGAAAGGCACACAGCAGGGCATTTGCCCTGGACCTGGCCCGTGATGGGGGTCACCCTTGTCCCCTGATCCCTGGGGTTTGCTTGGCCTTGTTTTGCAGCTGGGAGGTGAAGTCTACTTGCTCGTGCCTCTTCCTGTCTGTCACCTGCAGTCCCAGCCAGCAGGACCCCAGGGAGTGGCCGTGACTTGGTCCTCAGGGCCACTGCCCAGCCACTCTGGCCCCTGGAGAATCCTAGCAGCCTTCTTAGCCCGCCCAGTCTCAGTTTCCTCATCCAGACATGAGCATGGCCCCTGCTTGGTGGGGCTTGGCACCTTCCTAGGGGTCCCTGTCCCCCTGGGCCACCTCCCTGTGAAGATTGGAGCTGCCACCCCTCTGCCTGCAGCATGAGGCCCCCCGACTGCCCACCCAGGCCGACGAGACCCCCTCTGTTTCCCCATCACAGCCGCTCCCCACATCAGCTGCACTCCAGCCTGACAGCTCCCGCACGGGGCCTGGCCCTGAATGTTTGTTGAATGAATGAATGAATGAATAAATGTGCTCCAACTGCAGACTCTTGGTCTTTGTCCAACTCTTGGATTTACTTTCTGCCTTTTTTGCCTTTTTCTTTTCTTTTCTTTTTCTTTTTGAGACAAGGTCTCACTATATAGTTCAGCCTGACCTTGAACTCGTGGTAACCTCCTGCCTCAGCCTCCAAAGTGCTGGGACTGCAGGCCCATGCCTGATGACATTCTGGCTTCTTAGCTATGAATGTCCTCCACAGCATCCTGGGTGGATTCCTCCTTGGCCCGGAGTGGACCCCTGACCCTGTCCACCTGTCCGCTCTCTCCCTCGGCTCCTCTTCTGCCTCCGTCTCTGACTGTTTCCGCCTCTGTGTGCTGCCACCTCCCATCCCTGCACCTCTCTCCACTTCCGGTGCCCGTCAGCCTGAGCTGTGCCCCGGCCGCCCCCACACTGTCTCATTCATGAGGCGCAAAGGCCATGGGGATCTAGGTGACATTTGGGGTGGAAATTTCTTTCCAGCCTCATGATTTCAGCCCTGCCTCTCCTGGGCCTGTGAGTGGTGGCTCTGAGCAGGACAGGTGGCCGCTGTGTCCTCCCCCGGGTGTCCAGGTTCTGCCCAGGTCAGAGGGCGGGCTGGGGGGAGCGGGCAGAACTGCCACCCTGTGCTGGGCCTGCGATCACACAGCTGTCAGTCCTGGAGGGGCCGTGGCTCTGGAAGCCCCTGACATTCATCCCCAGCCTTCCCCGAAGTCCTTCCCACAGCTGCTCTGGGTGTGCGGCCTGCTGTGGCCAGGTCCCTGGCGCCTGGCTCCCAAGGGAGGCCACACACTCAGAATCTTTTCTCTTTTCCTTTTGGCAGTGCTGGGGACTGAGCATGTTGGGTAAGGTCTCTACCACTGAGCTATCCCCAGCCTCAGATTCACTTAACAACACTGGTTCTGGTGGTACACACCAGTCATCCCAGCACTCTGGGAGGCTGAGGCAGGAGGATTTGCAAGCTTCTGCCCTGCCTGAGCAATGTAGTGACTTAGGGAGATCCTGTTTCAAAAAAATTAAAGGGGCAAGGAATGTAGCTCAGTGTGAAAGTCCTGGATTCACTCCTCAGTACTGCTAAAACAAAACAAAAAAACCAAAACAAAACACAATAAACTGTACCACTACCAAGAAAAAAACATATCCATGAGCTGTTTTTGTTGTGTTTTGTTTTGCTTTTGAGATAGTCTCACTGTGTAGTCCAGGTTGGCCTTGAACTCACTGTGTGGTCCAGGCAATCCTCCTGCCTCAGCCTCCCGAGTGCTGGGATGACAAGCATGTGCCAACATGCCTGGCATTCATGGGCTACTTTTTATCTATTGCAAGGAACAGTCACGAAGTCCCTACCCTCTTGGGCTCAGTGTCTAGAAGGCTTGGGAGAGGGACTAGGGGAGGGATGGTAGGGACAGGAAGGAGCAAATGGGTCTGGAGAGGGAAGCCAGGGAGCCTTCTTTGAGGAAGTGGCCTTTGAGTGAGGCCTGAGTGACAGAAAGGAGAGATGTGTGCAGATGGGGAGGAGATTTCAGGCTGCAAGAGTAGCATGTGCAAAGGCCCTGAATCCCAAGGGGCTCCCATAGTGGCCGGAAGGTTTGTGTGTCTGAAAGAACCATGTGAGATCTCGGAGCAACAGGGGGACGAGAAGGCAGGTGCCCAGTGATGCAGGCTCCAGGGTGGCGGGCTATGGGCTTTCACCACATACTTTCCTCAGTCTCTCGTGGGCCTCAGACAGGCCACAGGGATGGGACACCCTCTACTCAAGGCCCCTGACTCATGTCTTCCTTTCTTGTGATGATCGACAGAGTCTCCCCCTGGTGGCCATGGGACCCAGGTCAATGTCACCTGCATCGTGAACGTCTGCAGCAGCTCCGACCATGGCTCGCAGTGCTCCTCCCAAGCCACGACGGAGGACCCCAATGCCAGCCTTTCAGGAACCCCAGAGGACGAGCAGGTCCCCTTCTCCCAGGAGGAGCGCCCCTTTCAGTCCTGGCAGGAGACCCCGGAGACTCTGCTGCAAAGCCTGGAGAAACCTCTGCCTTTCTGCGTGCCGGACTCGGGCATGAGGCTCAGTTAACGGGGCTGGGGTGGGCTGTGTCGCAGCTGGAGGGGGCTGAGTTCTGGCAGGGCCACTTGGCAGAGGTGCCCCGGTCCCCTGAGGCCCTCATCCCCCAGGACTCTGGCTCCTTACGGGCCAGGTTACTACAGTCCTGGGGAAACTGCCATCATGATCCAAGTCCTTCTTGGGAGGTGGCTGTCATGAACCTGTGGGACCAGCCCTTATTGTCTGGACCTGACCCCAGCTGGACCTGCACGCTTGTCTTCCAGAGCCCCTGGTGGCTTTGGTTTTTTTTTTTTACCCTGGGCTCTGACCTGATTCTGGCTTTTCAGAGGCCTCAGCATCCTCCCCTTCTGAGGGGCTTGCTGGGGAGGAGGGACGCTGTGTGTCACCCATGGAGAAGGAACTGCACTTCCGCCCGGATGCAGAGGCTGAAGGATGGCCCCTGGGAGGGGAGGCCACCGGTCAGAGGGTTCTGTGGGGAGGAGGAAGTAGCAGTCCTGTAGGGGACACCGGTCCCTCAGATCAGCTCAGGACTCTTGGAAGGTACCACCTCCAGACCACATCTGGCTTGTTCTTTTGTACCTGGTGTGAAAATCCAGTGCCCAGAGGGCCTAGGCAGGCATCTTTACTCCATGCTACAGTCAAGATGGCAGACCTTGGACCTGGGAGGGGTGTGCCCCAGGAGTAGAACACGTGCTCAGTGTGCTCAGTGCTGTGGGTTCAATCCCAGCCCAAAAATGTGAGCACCATGCAGGCCAACGAGGCAACAGAACCAGGGCACGGTGGCACACACCAGTAATCCCAGCATGGGAGGCTGAGGCAAGAAGGTTGCCAGGAGCTCAAGGCCAGCCTGAACTACATAGCAAGACCCTGTTTTGGAAAAACCAAAAAACCCCAACCAAACCAGCCCCCCTCTGGTGCCCTCGGCACCCTCTGCCTTTGACTTTCACTCCAGTGTACCCACTGCCCCCTCGGCCCCACTGGTGAACGTCTCCAAGGCCATGCCAGGGGACTTCAGAACCAAGGAGGTCCCAGGCCTCTGCGGCCACCTTCTCCTACCTCAGCCTGGACCTGCTTGCAACCTATGAGGGTTGAGCTTCCTCCCACCCCAACACCCAGTCCCAGGGCAGCCGGGGAGCCGTTTTGGTACTGTGCCTACGGCGATGCCCAGCGGATGTGAAAATCCAAGTGCCAGGCATTTGTGTCTGTTGTGTGTCCTGGGGTGTGCACAGTGGTGCCACCCTGAAGCTGCTAAAGCCAGTTCTTCGCCACTGGCCAGGCAGGAGCGTGCGCAGCAGTGACCAGATTTCAGAAGGAAGGGGTTGGGGATGCCTGGAGAAGCCCGTTCAGTCTCAGGTACTTGGATCCTTGTTGATATATTCCACTGGACTTGAACTTGGCAGCTGAACTATTGGGGGGGAGGAGAGCCTTCCCGTGACCACGGAGACCAGAAGGGCTTCCTGCCGGGGAATCGAGGTGTTGACCGCCCAGTCGACTGGGTCTCTGCCCGCCTGGACCCTGGGCAGCGATGGAGCGCGTCTGCCCCCTGGTGGACGGTCCTGGGAGCCCCGAACTGGAAGGACTCGGGGTGACCTCCGTTCCCCTGCTTGTGCTGATCCCAGATGTTGAGAGTTTGCACTGTTTGCAGGGCAGCATTCCTAGTTAGTAATAAATCTTGTTTGTTTTACACGTTGACCCAGGCTCTGAGTGGGTCTGGGTTGGGGTTTGTCCGAGGTCCTGCTGGGCTGTGACCAATGTGTGACCAGAAATGGGGTCACGGCCAGGGAAGGTTCAAGTCGGGACTGGCCCCAGAGGTGTTCCCATGCAGCCGCTCTCTCCCCGAGCCTGTGAACATTAACACAACTTCCGGCGCAGGACCTTGCCGCTGGTCTCCAGGCGCACCATGTCTTCTTGGGCGGGGTCTGTACCGAGCCCCTCAGGGGCAGCCCCGTCATCGCCCAGATCGCCCAGAAGAGCGAGCTCTGCCTGCGGAGGCTGCGCTGTGAGGGGCGACCACACCCAAGAGCCGGGCACAGGACCACTTCGACTCCAGGCTCTGGGAGTGGAGGACTTGTGTGGGGCGGGGACCTCTTATTCACTCCTGGTGGATGGGCGGGAGTTTTCTGAAACAGGCTGGGGAGGAGGTCAGGGACAAAGGGAGTTTTATTTTGTTTTTTAAATATCAAATTCTGTAATCCCAGCACTCAGGAGGTTGAGGCAGGAGGATGGCCACGAGTTCTTGACCAGCCTGGGGTATATAGTTCTGTAGGACTGCATAACTCTGTAATCATAAAACTGCCCTAGCCCCAACTGTGATTGAATGTGAGTAAATAGATAAAGATGCTTCTTAGTTCCAGGACACTAGATAAGATCCGTATCAGCCATAATTATCCAACTCTTTGTTCGGGACACCACTATCTATAGAACAATCTACAAAGCATCTGCTGACCATCAGTACCTGTCAGGCTAATTAACATACAAATGTAAGACCACTAAACCTTTGTTCCTTCTTCTGTAAATTTCGGCCTGTTAACTCCCCTGCAAGCCCCTATAAAAAGAGCCTCGGACTCTGGACTACTCCTCTCTAAGCTACTTTGCTTTGGGAGTGCCGTCTGGCCAGACTAAGGGATGTTTCACTTTCCAACTTGTCCGGTGTGTTCCTTCCCGGGTGTTCTTCGCTGCAGTCAGTTCCTTGGAGCATTTGGTAAGGCCCTTGGTCTTACATTCTGGAGGCACCGCTGGGATCCCTGGGTGTGCTTCACTGCAGTCAGCTCCTCGGAGCATTTGGTAAGGCCCTTGGTCTTACATTCTGGAGGCACCGCTGGGATCCCCGAGTGTGCTCCACT